AATTGACTGGTTGCTTCTGAAATGTGTTCGAAAAATGATTGTCCACCTCTCTGTTCGTGTATGGTAGAATTAAGGTTGCGTTACATCGTATTCGAGTGTATTCCGGTGTTCGGGAGCAACCGTGAAGGATCAAAGAGTGACAGCGATCCATTGGACGGTCGACCCCGATACCTAAGGGTTTCGAAGGTGTACTGTGGTGTCCCCAAGAGGACACGGTCCCCCTTTTCACGTCGACAAACGCGGGATCGTGACTCAGCAGCGAAATAGAATCTCCGGAGACCCGTGCTTTTCGCCTCGGACGGATACGCTGCCAACACCTCCACGCGGGTCACATGCGAAAATAGCTGGCGTCTCTTCGAGGTTTTTCGGGGGTAGGTAGGGATAATACACGTGGATTCTCAACCATGGAGAATCTCGCGTAAATATTTGGGACATTCTTTGGATCGATCGGTCCCCGAAGAATTTTCGGTAAGGTAGGATTTTTCGGAAATAGTTGGAAAGTTATTTGGCGGCTATTTAAAGAGGATGAAGTGTTCAGTTCGAACGGGGCAGATTCAGTCGTACGCTGTTACACGTGTAATTAATGAAACTTTAATCGCAGGTGGAATTAAAAGAATAGCCGACGATGCAATAAGGGTTGAAAGTTTTAAATGATGGAGGAAGGAACGGGGACACGGCAAGCTCGCAAGATTCATGAACTGGCCGCCGCAACGTTTTCTTCTTGAACTCCTTTTACGAATAATTCCCGCGTGTAATTACGAGGCCATTATAAATGACGCACAAATGCATTGTGAATTCCTAGGAGTTGTAAATTAACGTGTCACTGAATGTATAAGCAGATGTAGATGAACAGCTGCTGATTGTCGGCCGAGCGGCCACCAAGCATTTCGACTAGAACTTGCCCCCGAGTCGTTCATGAGCGTTTTATTAGTGTACACTGTCAGAGCCAAAGTGATTGTGTTAGCATAAAAATTCGGTTTATCTCTTGCACTCGAGTGAAATTCGATAAACATACGCTGGAATTGCGAATGGTGGATAAAATGTTTCACGTAGTTTTTGCAAGTTGCACGACCATTCGTTGGAATTGCAAACGGTCGATAAGATTGTCATGTAATATTCCAAATTCCACGACCTTCTGCTGGAATTGCGAAAGATGGATAAAATATCTCGCGTGATATTCCAAGTTCCACGACCGCCCGCTGGAATTGCGGACGACAAATAAAATTTTCGCGTAACATTCGAAATTTCTGGAATTGCGAACGGTCGATACTACTTTATACCGATAAAACGCACGAGCATTATTCACAATTCCACGACCGTTGGCTGGAATTGCGAGCCACGGGCAAAATTCCCACGCAATGTTCCAAATTTCGCGACAATTCCCCGGAATTGCGAATAATAAAGAAAATTCTGAGGTAATATTCAAAGCTTCCCGACGATTCGCTGGAATTGCAAAGGATCGATATTATTCTATACCGATAAAATTCACAAGCATTATTCAAAATTTCACAACCACTCGCTGGAATTGCGTACGGTCGATCGATTGTGCGGAATCTAGTCAACAGGCGCCATCGAAAGCACCAAAAAGAAATGAAAAAAAAAATAAAAATTCGCCAGTGATTCGCGATCGTGTCGCGAACGATCAACAAGTAAAACGTAGCAGGTTGGTAATAAAGCGATGAAAGTGATAAATCGCGACGGTTCCACCCCCGGGGACGGGCGGCGGCGTATTGTGTTATTAAAACTTTCCTAATGGCCGATAATAAGCAGCCGGCCGGCCGGGATTGATATTAAATCGTAAGACGAACTTACTCCGGGAATTCCAGCCAAACGGGTTTCCACGAGAAAGCACTCCCAACAAACCGAGAAAATTCTTTCAAGCAACAATATATAGAAATACAGAAACCGATAGAATTACACAACACCTCTTCTAATACCTGTACAATCTCCTCCACAACCTTAATCCACGAATTTTCCGAAGGAATCACGAGCCTCGATTTTTAATACGTTAGCTTAAATAGAAATGTCACTTTCTCCAACCGGAGAAAATCACACATTTTCACGGCAACACTTTCTATCGATCGAGGAATCTAACATTCCTCAAAGATATCCATCTCTAACGTTCCAAACTAACTCAACAATCTCCAGCTTCCATCACTCTTCAACCAACCGCCAGAAATCCACACAGCTCCACGCATCTCCCTGCGCAACAGACGCAGGAGAATCCTTCGTCCTTAATTCCCCAGGTCCACTCGAACTTCGCAGAAGCATCGAGGACACGTGGCGGTTGGCGTTCAGCTCTCATGGGCGATCTCGCGATAATCGTGATCGCGGATACGTCGAGGAGAGCGGGAAAAGGTCTCCCTAGGACCGAGAGGGAATCGTCGTTGACGAAGTACGGGTGCAGGGGTGGCTGTGGGTGTAAAAGGAGGGTGTCAGGCCGGCTCACCGGGAAAAGTGATTGATTGTGTTTCGCCCGGAAGAGCAAAGAAGAGGAGAGAGAACGGGGGCAGAGAGAACCGGGGGATGGGAGAAGCGTTTGTGCAGGGATGGGAAGACGGAGAAAGAAGCGTCGCCAGAAGACGTTGTCGCGGGGTAAAGGGCGGTTTGGTGGATGAAAAAGGAAGGAGGGAAGATCGCGGAGGGCGTCAGGTTGATAGAGACAGAGAGGTCGAGCCGCAAAACGAGGAGACAACGTCTCTCTCTCCTATCCTCCCTGGTTTTCTACGTCATCCGCAAGCCCCTTCAACCCCCTCCGTCGCAGATTCCACTCGACGCTCGCGACGTTCCCTCGGTTCTGGAGCGGCATGAAGTGGCCGCAAGAAAAATAGAAATAAGCCGCGACGTCGAGGCTCTTCCCTAACGAAAAACCTCGACTCGTGCGGGCGCACGAGTAAAGCGGAAGGGAAAAAACAGGTGACGCGCTCTCATCGCCACGTTCAATTGCCTCCTCTTCCTGTTCCGATGCTTCGCCGTTCTTCTGGACGTCGCTGTTCCTCGGGAAATATTGCTCGCGCGTTTATTGCAGCTCTCGGAACGAGACGACAATTGGCTCGAGTGTCTTTTCATTGGGGTCGTGGATCGTTTAGGTGTTTCTTCGAAATTTTAGCCTCTAGCGATGGCGAATGATCGAATGGTAAACGTAAGAGGCTCGGATGGACAGAAGTGGAGGCTCGTATTGTCGTGCCGCGGCAAAACAGAGTGAGTGTGCTCTTTGTGTAATGACTCGGCGCTTTATACGCTTTGCTCCGCCGCAGCTGATCGCGAGTAGACGTACTTGACCGAGTGCAGCGAGACACTTGTAGAGCACTAATATAAACACGCGGCGAAAGAACGCCGGAGCCATTACTTTCAATTTGGACCGCCTCGAAGAGAGTGTTGCGTAACGCGGCGATTCCGAGCGTCAGAAGCGTGAATGATTCCACACACTTGGCAAGTTTCTTACGATCTTATTCTCTCTTGATCGTCAACTTGGAGAACAGGAAATTCCATGAAGTGTTCATGGAGAACACTGTTCCCACTCGTTTACTTCTGTCCAATCTAATCAGACCACTCTGTTTCATTGATAAAGCAAACCTGTGTCGCTACGGTAATCTCTAACGGTGTACCGTAACAGCGAAGTCACTCGATCGACGTCCCCAATTAGCATCGCGATATCGTTCAACCCCCGAAATCGCCACCGCGAGATCTCCGTGTAACAGTATCGGATCTGGTTGTCGGTGGTTTTCGGGCGCGCATTGACCAACACTCGCGTAAGATGTATTTCAGAAGGATGGAGGCGGGTTAAGGAGATCTGTAGGAGTGACTATACGGTTCTACTGTTAGGTACCCTCGAGTATGGCCCCATAAGGGCACAGGATCCACGCTTGCCGTGGCAGGGGTTGGTCTCGTGCTTCCTCGGAGTGGGGCTGGCTGGCGGCGGAGCAGAAAGTGCGACAGAGAGGTTCAGTACTTGGAGAGGGGGTGTCCCGACTCTCCGCAACGGCTCGAAGCCAGCCGGCCTCGTCGGACCTGGAGGGAGTTGGGAACACAGTCGCCGGAGTTGCCAGACGAGTTTCTGCCGAGGCAGGACGAGCTCACTTTCATGGCTCTCTGACAGCTTGCCCGGTGTCGACGTGCCTTCGTTCCTCGATTTCGCTAATTCCGACGAACCCTCCCCCATCGAGTGTGCAGTGTATGAAAACTTCATTGAAAATTCTCCATCGTCGAAGTGATTGAACTGACAATTGCATCTGACCTACGATTGGACTTTCTTCTTTTTTTTTTCTTCACAAATCTGTCGAGGACGTTCGATGCTGATGGAAAAGTGTCCAGTGTTCGAGCGGAGAGAGAGTAATTGAGAGAAAGGGGTGCGAAAATCGTGGAGAGAGAAGGTGTATCGTAGATAGTAGACGATAACCGTCGCTGAGGGATCGGACGGAAAGAAGTTAGTGCACCTGCCGCAGCGGTTCTCGCGGCGCCACTCACGTGTTGCATGCGTGCCGCGCTATCCATCATGGTCGCGGGCTGGGAGCGGCTCTGATTGGTCGGCGCGGCGGTCACGTGGTATGGTAATTGGGCTCCGGTGGGCGGGAAGGAGCGAACGAGGCCGCGGAGGTTCGTGGTGGATCGCAAAAGTGGCGGAAGGAGAGGAGAGGATAAGCAGCTGTCCACCGGGAGTCTGCTACTCTCCGTGCTCTTGCTCTTTTCGCTCGTTTTCTGTTCCCCCTTTCTCGCCTTCCTCTCTTTCTCTCCCTTTTTCCGCCTTCTGCGTCGTCTTCGCGGCACCACCAGCTGTACCCTTTCCCCTCCGGTGGAAAAAGTCACCCTGTTCGGGTTTTAGAAGAGAGAGGGATGTCGGCCACGGGCCACAGTGCAGTGCGGTGTGTACGCTTCCGACAATGAATATCGTCAACATGGAACTGTGCGACTCTATCAACTAACAACTCCCCCCCCACTGGCGGACCAAGGGAAAACCCGATAGAGAGCGTGAATTTCGGAATCGGCGAGGGCAACGAGGAGAAAAGCAAAGAAGAAGAAAGGAACAGGAAATTCGTAAACGAAGATGAGTTCGTTCCTGATGAATCCATCCGCCGGCGGTGGATATCATCACCATCAGCACCAACAGGCTGCCACCAGTCACCATTTGGCAGCAACCTCTGTAATGGTCGATCCGAAATTTCCACCCAGCGAGGAATACAGCCAGAGCAACTACATACCGTCGACAGGGGCGGATTTCTTTCCAGCAGGCGGCAACCATCATCTGAATCATCCGCAGTCTCATCAGTTGCAGTACGGTTACCATCAGCATCACCATCAGGCCGCGTCCACCCCTTACGGTGCTTCGTCCGCGGTGCAATTGAACGGCGGTTACGCCGGCTACGGCGGTTACTACGGGCCGCATCATCCCCATCACCAAGTGCACGCGGTTCACCATGCCAGCCTCCATCCTCATCACCACGCGGTGGGCGCACTTGCGATGCCACCGGAGGCCCAACAGCCGCCGCTCACGTGTCCATCCTCTATGCAGAGCCAGCAACAGCCCCAGCAGCAACAACCACCTGTGTCCGCGTCCACTGTTCTCGGCGCGACACCGCTCTCGCCTGGTATCATGCAGAATCACGTCCAGCCGCCGGACAGTCTTCAGCATCACCAGCAGCCGAGTCAGCAGCAACAGCAGCCGCCGCACGACGGCAACGCGTGCAGCCCGGCGAGCTCCGGCCAGTTGCACCGTGACAATTCGCCGGATCTTCAGCAGCAGGCTCCCAGCAATCAACAGTCTCAGCATATACAGAACACGCAACAGCAGCAACAACAGAATCAGCAGCAGGCGCAGCAACAGCATCACGTGGACGACGGATCAGATCAGGATGACATGGAGGACGATCAGATGATGGACGGGTCGCCGGGGATGATGGAGGATGAGGAGGAGGACGAGGAGAACGGGGACCGTGTGATTTATCCGTGGATGAAGAAGATTCACGTCGCTGGTGTCGGTGAGTTGCACACTTTCAGCCTCACTTTTCGCTTCACGGTGAGGGTTGGATGTCACGTCGCGGTCTAATTCCGATTTCATTGCTGGAGCGTTTGGTATCCGTTGTCGTTGTGGGTTTGGAAATGTAGATGCTACGTAAGAAAGTATGGCAAAATTTATCGGTTAGAAGTCAATGATGTAGGCTATCGTTCTTCGTCCGTCGGAACACCGTTTGCTCGGTGAAGTTAGGTTTGATTTCGCAGGTTTATCGCCCGTCTACGTTCTACATCTGTTCGACCTATTTTGTCGATCTTTTGAAAAACACACTTTTAAGTATAATACCCACGAGGTTCTTCATTTTACTCCGATAATTGTACGAGGTGCGAGTTTATGGCCGGTTTACGTCAAAGATTTAGATACACCGATCCTACTGTGCCCTCACGTTAGATCCCCGACAATAGAAAGATGATCGAGACGCATTTACCACATGTCGCAAAGTGCGCGACAAATGTCCAGAAGCATTGTCACAAAGGTTTACCTGTGCAACGCATAATACCGTGGTGCAAGGTGACGCATTACCGAGCGGCAAGAAGACTGATGAGCTGCAATTTATCGTTGCACCTTCCCGATCACCTGCGCGAGATTTTAAAAGCCTCCTGCCCATTTACCACCTATTTGGTTACGCCTAGTGTCGCTATTCTTCATCCGGTGCCGTACGTCAAACTGAGAAATAGCAAGCACTGATGGCAATTCCAAACACGTATTAGAAAAAGAGACAAATCGAGGAGGATTTGTCATATCCTTAGAGAACAGGTCAAAGTATTTCTGCTCCGTCGAATAAACTATCGCATAGTTCTCCTAATCGTTCGATTAATATTCGAATTGTTTATTAAAAAAAAACACCCGAGCAAGGACAACTTCGTGTTTTCTTCAACCGAGTGTGTTTAAAAGCTTGTCAACGAAATCGGTATATATGTACATACGAATACCAGAAAGTTTCACAATTATGCAACGCACAGGGGCCCTGTGATATAGCGTTCATTGGAAATAAGTCGATAAGAATGGCGTGTGTTCAACGCGCAGCGAGCGTTCCAAGCCGCGGCAGGCGTTCCACAGAAGGATTATGAATCTTCAAAGGGAATTTTTGCAACGTAATATCCCGGAGAATTGGGCTGCCTTTGCAGCCTCAAATTTCTATTCCGTTTTCGACCGGGGAAACTGCTGTTCATTCCAGCTTGCAACTATTTCGCTTTTGAACAGGCCAGGCGTTTCTACAACGGGACGATAGCGCCGCCAGGGCCGAATATCATAATTCATATTTCCAGGTAACAAAAAATATCCACGATGAAAGAAACGCGGCTGGCCGTGTATGCGAAACAAGTTTTTAACGCGCCGTTCCACCGTAACACAGTTTTTCTATGCGCCTTTATCCCCTAGCCTTGTATCGTACGCCACTGGGGGGCGAGCGATTGATTATTCAGTGATGGTCCGGCTGAGAATTCTTCCCTGGTTTTGTCACATTTTTCACGAATTTTGTGCTTTGGAGAAATTCGAGAATTGAAGGAGAAATTGTCTCTAGACGCTTTGTAATTCTCTTCCCTTTCTTAAATCTTCTCTGCATATGAAATGGTTTGTGTGAGAAACTTTATTTCTTTCTGTGACATTTTCGACGAATTTTGTGCTCTGGAGAATTGAAGAATTAACGAAGAAATTGTCTCTGCATATTGAAAAGGAACTCTTGGTAATTCTCTCCCCTTTGCCTTCTTTCTTAAATCTTCTGTGTATATGAAATGGTTTCTGTGAGAAACTTTATTTCTTTCTGTGACATTTTCGACGAATTTTGTGCTCTGGAGAATTGAAGAATTAACGAAGAAATTGTCTCTGCATATTGAAAAGGAACTCTTGGTAATTCTCTCCCCTTTGCCTTCTTTCTTAAATCTTCTGTGTATATGAAATGGTTTCTGTGAGAAACTTTATTTCTTTCTGTGACATTTTCGACGAATTTTGTGCTCTGGAGAATTGAAGAATTAACGAAGAAATTGTCTCTGCATATTGAAAAGGAACTCTTGGTAATTCTCTCCCCTTTGCCTTCTTTCTTAAATCTTCTCTGCATATGAAATGGTTTGTGTGAGAATCTTCCCTGTTCCTGTGACATTTTCCACAAACTTTGTGTTTTGGAAAGTGGAAGAATTATCACAGAAAGTGTCTCTGCACATTAAAGAAGATTTTCTTCCCTTTCCGCAACATTCGTCAAATTCTCGGTTACTCAGAAATGGTTTATACCATTTTCCGTAAATTTCGTCTTCTGAAAAACTTGAAAGAAACCCGAAGAAAATTCGTTAAACTCCCCTTCGTTCCTTCTCCAAGCGATCCACCTCTGCATCTCTAGCGTTTCGCGAAGCGCAAACGCCAACGAACTCGGAATGCAGACATTTTTATCCACCGCAGTATCATTTTCGCGGGCAACACGATGCCCAGCCAGGTTCGACGTCCAGTGCCTGGTGGAGTCTGGTATGCGTGTCCGTCGGCCTGTCGGAGACTGCAATCTCTCCCCTCTGGACGTCGAGTTTGCTCGGCGACCGGACGCTGCTGTTAGGAGGGGCTTCCCGAGACCGTCGCGTCGGTCAGCTCCGGAATGGAATGTGTCTGCACAGATTCTAAACTGAACTCGCTGCCATGCTTCCTCTATCGTGCTCGTACCGGACCACCAAGGAACGCTTCTAGCATGCCACGCGAGGATTGACGTCGCTTGTGATACGGCCAACGATCGATGCACCAATCTCTCACTCTCTCTCTCCTTCTCCTGCGTCACCTTCGTCGCGACCCTAAGCTTGGTGACGAGCCACGATGGTCAGCACCGATAGTGGTTCTCGTTAGAGTTCTGAATAGGGAAACTAGGATGGAAGGGTTGGAAGTTTTGATAGGTTAGGGTGAAACGGCGTGGAGGAAGGAAAAAGCAAATGGAGGAACGGAATATTAGAGTACCGGGTAATGGAGTGAAATTGTAGAGTTACTTAGAGGGTGGAAGACGTAAGTGTACGTTTGCAGGATTGATTGGTACCTACTTTGGGTAAAAATAGACTCCTTTCTTCTTTCGAGAACTGAAGCAATTTGGTTGTAGTAAGACGGAACTGGGTGAAATGAAAATTCCTTTCTTTTTAATACGACAGAAGCAATTCTGTTCTACCGAGACAGAACTGGGTGAAATGGAATTTGTCACGCTTGACTGTACCCCTGTGTTAAATAGAAATTATTCTAGTAAAATGAGTAGGTGGTTGCAGCAATGAATAGCGCAAGGAAATAAGTCTAATAAACTGGAATCTTAGCAAAATTGCAAAATTAACTCCTTGACTTGTAATTTTCTATTCGCCACGAATGTTAGCCTCCGTGCAAGGGGTTAACACAGAATTCATTTTCAAATCTCTCGACGCGAGGGGTTGATAAAGATTTGTGTCACTCTCAAATCGAATCGAAAATCTTCTTTTCTCTCGTCTCGTCCACAATCACCGTGACTCCTAATTCCAAAGCGAGGGGGTTGAAGGAAATCGGTACCACGCGTTCGAGCAACTTTCGTACCGTTTCACAGGGAAAAAGTGGTCACTCCGTCGCGTCGAATTCGTGTTTACACGTGGTCGTTTCTTCCCCATCGGGCCGGTGAAAGATGCCTGGTCGTAATCCCGCTTCAAGTTCGACAAGCGATACAGCTACTCGACAGCTCGGCCTTGAAACACTGGGCCCAGGCGGATTGCGAAATGTCGAGCCGGTTGTGTTCGTCGTCGCGTTTCTCCGGTGTTGGTGTTGCACGTGTCACGCTTCTTTATCCGCGGCGATCGAGCGTTTCGCGAGAGAGCGTGTGCCGCCGCCTCGAACAGTATCGACAATAGCGCGAGCCTTTTAAAATAATGGCGCTTGTCAAACGCTGGCAAAACCCTGCCGGACGAATTTTAACGTCGAGATAATGCGCCGCGAAAATGCTCGTCCCCTCGGTGTCGGTTATTAATTGCCCGATATTTATACTTTCTATTCGCTACACTCGGCCGCGGTTCCCTGTCGGTTAATTCTTTTTCTCGAGATGAACCGATAGGCACATTTGGAGAGGCAAAGAACCCGGCGAACGCTCGATAACGCGAGAAATTTGTGTGCACGCTGTGTAGTACCTAACGTCGGGCAAGATTATTTTTCTTCGGGCAGGTTCGATTCCTTCGGTAGAATTTTCGAACAGATGGTTGGTTCGAAAGAGAGAAAAAAAACGTTATTAATAGGGTTGTTTACAAGCGCTTGGAGTTTTTGCACGTCGGATACAAACAGAGAAGAGAGCTGTTTACGCATAACAAATGGAAAATCACGCGATAATATTGACGTGTAATTGCCTGAGTAAGTCGTCGAGTATTCGTGCCATAGAAGTTTGTACCTATCGACAGGCAAGGCTGAATCGATTACGGGATATTTGCGAAAACGTTGCATCGTCCGATAGGGAAAATTTATCACATACCGGGTGTCCCAGTTTTGTTTCGATCAAACTTCGTCGGTGTGATCTACGGGTATAGGCGAGAAAGAAATGTTATGTAAACGTAGGTCGTTCGAGGCTTCGTTCAAAAGTTACGACGAAAATACGAAGGATATGATGATAATCGGCAAGAATGACATTGGCAAAAGTGATATTCGACACCTTGAACGACCTCTAATCGTTCACAAAGCTTGCGTAAACAAACTATTAGATACACGTATCGCTGATCTATTTCTATTCCGCGTAATAACCGGACACCCGTTATCCTTCCTATTTCCTATTATCGTTATAACTTTTTAATAAAGCCTCGAACGACCTCTATTTACATAACATTTTTTTCTCACCTACACCCGTAGAACGCACTGACGAAGTTTGATAGGGAACGATTAAGTTTACGTACGATCGAACGTTAAACAATTTCGAAATGTAGCACATCTACCGTCGCTGATAACGTTCTAAAAATAAATCCTGACTAAATTCGTTTAGTAATACAGTCGAGACTAGAGAAGCAAGAAACTAACGTGGCTCGATCTCTGTTTGGTTCTTGCAGCGAACGGCTCGTACCAGCCGGGGATGGAGCCGAAGCGGCAGAGGACCGCGTACACGAGGCACCAGATCCTCGAGCTGGAGAAGGAATTCCATTACAATAGGTACCTGACGAGACGGCGACGTATCGAGATCGCTCATACCCTGGTGTTGTCTGAGCGGCAGATTAAGATCTGGTTCCAGAACCGTCGGATGAAGTGGAAGAAGGACAACAAGCTACCGAACACGAAGAACGTACGGCGGAAGAACGCGAACGGTCAGACGTCGCAACCGCCTTCGAAATCGTCGAAAACACCGTCTACGAGAGGGAAACTCTCCACCGGTAACAACAACAGTCAACGAAAGAACAACAACTCGCCGTCGAGCGGGATCGACGCAAGTTTAGACTCCGGCGTCGGTTTGACGGACATGGCGGACGTGCACGCGGTGAACGCGGCCCTTCCGCATACGAACGTGGTCCATCCGAGCTTCCAAGGTCACCCGCATCCCTTGGCCCATCTACAGGCGCAGCTGAGTCATCATCATGTGAGCGGCATGATGGAGGGTCCGACGGGAGGACCGTTGGGCCACATCGGCTCCGGAAGTATCAGCCCTCTCGCCCCTGCCACCAGTCCCTCTGGCTTGTCACAAGTCCCCGCGCCCATTCCGCCACCGGCGATCAAGTCCGATTACGGGCTGACGGCGCTGTAACATCCGTCTGGGGAAGTGGAAGATTATTCGAGTCGAATTCTCGCCAGCTTCGGCACCACTGGCCACGGGTTCGTTGCTGTTTGGTCTTAGGAAATTACCGGGGAACGTTGCTCTGCTTTGGAGAAGATTCGTGAATCGGAGAGCTTTCTTTGGTCTTCGGATGGTTCTACTGTGAAGACTGTCGAAGAAGGTTCCACGGCGAATAATAGTGTCTCTGGTTGCTGTTGCGTCGCAGAAGAACGTTTCTTCTGTTGGTTCTACTTGCATCGGAGACTGTTAATGTGTACCGAAACAAGGAGCTCGAGGAACGTTTTGTTCCTTAGACTATCTACACTTACTGTTTCACTGGACTCGTGGATGAAGAAGGTCGTCTTTGGGCGATTCTAGGAAGACAGATTTTATGGTGAACTGTAACAGTGCAAGGATTTGGACTTATAAGGACGGATTAAACTGTCTATGGTTACTGTTTCATCGCAGAAGAACGTTTCTTCTGTTGGTTCTACTTGCATCGAAGACTGTTAATATATACAGAAACAAGGAGCTCGAAGAACGTTCTGTTCCTCAGACTATCTACTATTTCTGTTTCACCATAGAAGAACGTTTCTTCTACTGCTTCTCCAACGATCCAACTTCCATCGAAGACTGTTAATGCAAAATAAGAGAAGAAAGTTTCGTTCCTCAGACTATCCACAGCTCCAGTAGGTGTGCACTGAATCGAAACAGTAATTGAAGGTAGAAGCTAAGACAGGAAGTACTACGACGATCCTCCTTCGGTGAATTGCTGTCTGATGTATGATCCGTCGGCCTAGAAGGAAGTTCCACACGCTTGGAGCCGGAAGCAAGTCCTTGTTCTTGATGACGAATTCTACTGCAATCTCACAGTGCCCCCAAAAAAAGGAAGCACAGCGGTCTAGCTGGAACGATTCGCGCGGATGGGTCGTCTATTGTGGCAGTCGCACAGCCGAAAGAGCGACCTGACTGCATTCAAGATGAGACAGGGCTGAAGTTTCCTGTGATCCTACGGCTATTCTCGCTGGGAACGCCGAGTCATCGTCATCTGGATGATACGGTGGACGATTGGCGGCCGTTCTGGTGAAACAAATGGGCGCTGACGGTGTCTGTTACCCGGTTTCTTCTCTCCCCGGTGTGTTCTGATCGCCCGAGAAGGTTCGTCGAGGCACGCTCGAGAGCTGTTGTCAACGAAGGAGCGGCCGCTAATCATCGTTTCAGCTCCTTTGATCTGTGAAGTACCGGGACGAGTACTTGAAGACTGAGTGACGACGTCGTCGAGGATGATTGTCGGGTGTCGGCGAGTGAAAGAAGTGGAGGATGAAAGAGAGACGCCGGTTTAGTTGGAGAAAAAGTGTGAGAAAAAAAAAATGGTGAAATATTAATCGGTAACTTGGTGAAGAAACAGTGAGTCGATGGACTTAGACGTGAAAAAATTGCAATCGTTGTTTTCTTCTAGAGCCATAGAAGTCGGGTTTGTCGAAGTTTAACCCGCGTTTTTACGATTTCCTCCCTTTAGATATAGTAGATATTTGTTTTTTCTCGAAACGATGAATTATTCTGAAGGTTTCGCCGCGCAACTATGACTTTTCGTACGTCGAAAGCTGTGATCCGATAAGTAACCACCTCCCATCGATCTAGACGTTTGAAAATGAGGAAGTATAACAGATCGATTCGTTCCCACGACACGTGAAACTGTACATAACGTGCGCATGTATATAGTCGTGTAAATGAAAGTCCTTATCCCTATGTGATTAAAGTGCATCGTATTTCGTATGTTATTACGTAAGTGTGCGGTCTTAGAGTTTTAAGTAGTCGATAGGAGACGTTTTCATCGAACGAACAGCTAAATTGTTCGACGTTGTTTGTTCGCTCGTAGAGAGAGAGAGAAATGTACAGTGACGCCTGCGTTCCGACGTTGAGAAGAATCGAAGGAAATTTGCGAGATCGTAGAATTTTAGCCGTCGTTTCGTTTCACACGCAAAGTAGAATATACACGAGTTTCGACGTTACTACCAATTTGACAATTTCTCCTGGAGATAACGCGTTAAAATAGGCAGCGTTCATTTGTCCAATCGCTATTCGCGTCCCGAGAGAGAGTTCTTCGCCCGTTAAATTGCCGCTCGTTGTCCCAGACGAAGTGGAAATTTCCTGTGCATGTCGGACAACGCGATCGTCGGCCATTTCGCGAATTCTCCGCTTGGCAAGGAAAAGACGCCGGAATGAGAAAAGTACGCGTTTCAGCCGCGTGGCGCGTCACCTGTACGTTGTAAATAATTGCTGCAAGATATCGTCTATTTTTATCGAGAAAAGTAAAACGGAACGACCAATAACGGGAACTATAGATTAAAAAGACAAAAGAAACGGGGTTCGCGCGTCGAAACCGGAAGCTGTAGCGCGGAGACGAGTAGCAATCAAATTTAAGTAAAAGGGAAGAAGAAGATGAAGGGGAAAAGAACACTGCACAGAGTCGCTGTGACGATATACCAAAACGATGTTTATCAGATTAAAATATAGTGATCGTAGAGGTCTTGTTAAGAAGCATTAAATTCGCGGCACGTTTCTGTTCCAAACTGTGGAACCGGACGGACGAAGATACGGCGGTCCTAGTGTAATTAGCGAGTTCTAACGCAAAATGCGAGAAAAGTGCACGGAGTTTAACGAGAACGTTCTTATTAAGTGTGACATTGTATTCCTTGATATTCTATTCGATAATGTATATAGCCTGTACGATAAGAAACGTGTATTTGGGCACACCTCGATGCTTATGTTTATATCGATCGTAGAAATCGATCAAGATACAATCTCGTGAAGTAAAGTGAATCAATAAATAAATGTTTCGTAATTTACAATAACGCCGTGATTTCCTCGACGAGACAACCCCATCCCTTTTCCTTTATTCAATCATGCGAATACCGAGATCGAGCAAAGCCTCCGCAGAGTGAGTTCCTCTTCCAACGATTCCACGATTTTTACTAATGCAACCGGTTTCTTTCTCATTTTTAAGGCACATTAACAATCGGCTGTTTCGCTTCGTTTTCCTCTTGTTTTTTCTCCTTTCCCTCTTTTCTCCTCCCCCGTGGCTTTCGTCGTTATCGCGAGAGTGAAAAATGAACATTTCGGTTATTATAGATTTATTATCTGGCGCATTTTTATCGGTTTTTCGCGCGATACATCATTCGCGCAGGAAACAAACGATAGGCTGCGCCGAGTCGAGGTAAACTTGTTAGTTGACGGCGTTGACAGTATCTCATCCATATTACGTATGTAAAGTCGCGTGCATATATTTACCGGTTGCACCGCAGAGTCCGCATAATAAATCATTTCCCTTCGAAAAGGAATACACCGATTGCTGGAAAGCCGCTTGGATAGGAATAACGAGATAATGCTGCGTATGAATCATGCCGATAAACACCGAGCGACGTGTAACATCGTCTCCGACGTGAATCTTCCCGCTGGACGATTTAATATTGGTGAAAGAATTCCACTTTTCTCTTTGTTTAGGAAGGAAACGTCGATCTTTCGAAGGGCTGGAACCTCGTGTAATTTTTATTATTGGAATCTGTTTAGTTTTCATCCCTTAGAATTGGAAGAATAAATAAGTACGACTCTTTGGGGAAATTTCGAAAGCGAGTTTTTATGTATCTTGAAAATATGAGAAATTTGCAAACGATAATACCTACTTACCAATATCGGAAATTCACTTTTTCTTGGAAAGTTGCTAATGAGTCATTTTGAAAAGTAGGCGAGATAAATACAGAATATTCCAGTAAAGCTTACACTGTCGAGATAATAATTATTTTATCAGACAATTGAACGTTTGCGTAACCCAGAAGCATAATTCTCTGAGACATCGAAGGCACGTTTCATCCCTTATTGCGTTTACTAAATAAGAGAAGATTAGGGAAAACAAAATTTCCATAAATCCAGTAACCCTTCCACTATTTAAGACAATTATCATATCCAAAATATTCAACGTTCGCATAAATCTTTGAGACATCGAAGACGTTTCATGCCCTGATATAAAAGAAGAATAGGAAAAAGAAAATTTCCATAAATCCAGTAACCCTTCCACTATCAAAATAATAATTATCGGATCCAAAAAATTCAAAATTTCCATAATTCCTCGAGACATCGAAGACGTTTCATCCCCTACTATAAAAGTAACCCTTCCACTATCAAAACAATAATTATATCCGAAAAATTGAACGTTTCTATAATTCTTCGGGGTAGCATTCATCGAAGACGTTTCATCCCCCAATATATTTACTAAATTAAAGAATAATAGGTAAAACAAAATTTCCACAAATTCACTAACCCTTCCACTATCAAAACGACAATTCTACCCGAGAAATTTAACGTTCGCACAATTCTCTGAGACATCGAACACGTTTCATTCCCAAATATAGCAACAAAATAAAAGAAGAACAGGGAAAAAGAAAATTTCCACAAATTCACTAACCTTTCCACTATCAAAACGACAATTCTACCCGAGAAATTTAACGTTCGCACAATTCTCTGAGACATCGAACACGTTTCATTCCCAAATATAGCAACAAAATAAAAGAAGAACAGGGAAAAAGAAAATTTCCACAAATTCACTAACCTTTCCACTATCAAAACGACAATTCTACCCGAGAAATTTAACGTTCGCACAATTCTCTGAGACATCGAACACGTTTCATTCCCAAATATAGCAACAAAATAAAAGAAGAACAGGGAAAAAGAAAATTTCCATAAATCCACTAAACCCTTCACTATCAAAATAATAATTATCGGATCCAAAAAATTCAAAATTTCCATAATTCCTCGAGACATCGAATACGTTTCATCCCCTGCTATAAAAGAAGAATAAGAAAAAGAAAATTTCCACTAACCCTTTCACTATCAAAACAACAATTCTACCCGAGAAATTCAACGTTCGCACAGTTCTCTGAGACATCGAACACGTTTCATTCCCAAATATAGCAACAAAATAAAAGAAGAACAGG